GGCCATTTTTTGGTTGCAGCCGTCATTGTTGTTTGGCGGGTCCGGGATGGATTCGAACCCACAACCTTAGGTGTATGTGGCTGGCGCCTTAGCCGCTTGAGCCACAGGCGCCGAGCCAGGCAAATTCTTCTCTATACAACAAATGAGAAAGGAGTAGGTAGAAAATTCTATATGAAGAGACTGGCTGCTTGTTAATCACGTCATGCATAGTGAAGTTAGTATTGATGCCCTCCAGTCATCTGTGGTCAGTTTGCTTGTTTCTTATCTGGACAAATGAATCAAACTGGAACTGGGTGGGTTTTTATATATTCTGTGTGTCTAATAAAAGCAAATACGGACTTAGGTAAGGAGAAATTTTATTCAAAGGGGTTGTAAGAGAAAGGGGACTATTTCAATAGGGAAAGGGGGGCTCTTGCACCAAGGAGAACACTGCACCCACAATCTGTAAGCCTTTCACAGGCAGGCAGAAAGGAATGCTCTTTTATACTGAGAGAGAAACAGGCCAGAAAGAACCAGGAACGGAGGACTTGGATGAACAGTTTTCCTGATAGGACAGTTAAGCAGGAAACATGTTTCCCTGCAGTCAGCAGATTCTCAGGAGAGGCTGTTAAGAAGAGGTTGTTACACATCCTGATGCTGGATCGGGATGGGGGGGGGAGGGTCAAAGTCCCAAGGTCTTGGGGAAGGAGAGAGGCTTAACTAATGTCTGGTCACATTAGCAGACGCTTCGTGGCGACTGCTCAGTGGGTCAAACCGTTCAGTTAATCACTGTGAGAGAGAGGGAATGGGAATCCAGAGGGTCTGTGCCTGGCCTTGTCACAGATGAACAGGGCAAGCATCTGTGAGGCTTAGCCCTAAAGGGAAGGGTGGTTGTTTGCATTGAGCCATTTCCCAGCACAAAAGAGGGTAACAAGGAGATTCCTGAACCTAGCTGTTTCCCAGGAACATGGGCTCAGGTAAGGTTTAACACTGTCATGTGTATGGGTTCTGGTCCTTAACTAACAAAAAGCTATAGGAAATTGATCAACTGAAATCAATGTTTATGATAAAAAGCATCTTTTCCCTGTCTGAGGTAAGCTAAGAAACAACTCTGATTTCCTCAGATTTGGGCAAAGTGTCCAAACTGTAGTTTTGTTCTACTACAAAATAGTAGAAACTGGGCATGGCTCAGTGTCTCATGTCTGTAATTACAGCACTCTGGGAAGCCAAGGCAGGTGGATTGCTTGAGGTCAGGAGTTAGAGACCAGCCTGAGCCAGAGTGAGACTCTGTCTTTACTAAAAATAGAAAAACTAGGCAGGCATCGTGGCAGATGCCTATAGTCCCAGCTACTCGGGAGGCTGAAGCAAGAGGAATCCTTGAGCCTAAGAGTTTGAGGTGAGCTATGATGACACCATGGCACTCTATGAAGAGTGAGGGAGTGAGACTTTGTCCCCCCCCACCAAAAAAGTAGAAATTGGAAAAAAGTCAATCAGTAAGACATGTGTCTTAATTTTTTCAGCTATAAAAGGCAAATAGTTACATTAACTATGCCACGAGTTAGCTGAGAATGTCAAGGGAAATATATACCGCTTGACCTAGGGCTTAATCTATTGTAGGGTTTTGATAACTGGTAGCTACTTATTTTTAAGAGACAGAGTCTTGCTGTGTTGTCCAGGCTGGGCTCAAATTTCCAGGCTCAGATGAGCTTCCTGAATAGCTGGGACTACAGCTACATACCACTCTGTGCGACTCCTAGAAGCTACAATTTTTATTTGATAAAATATTCTGTGGCTGAGATGTATGGGCTTCAGCAGTGTTAAAGAAAAAATTATTCAGATACTAGTTAAAGATGGTAAAGAACAGACTGACTGTTGAAGAGGGATTACCTAGTGGGGTTTTACAGTAGGTGAAAGCAACTGGGCTCAATTCCAAACATGGGTAGAAATGGAGATTTATAGCCAGGGAGTAAGGTCTTTGGGTCGAAAATTGCTAAGAGAAAAGAGCAAGGCCAGGGTGATAAGATATCAAGGGTAGAGGGTGAGGAATTTGATCAGTTATTGAAGGTGATCAGATACCAAGGGTCTGGGTTTTTTTTTTTTTGCTAAAGTCACTCAGCAGGATTCTTGCTAAAACTGGATAAAGCGGGCCAAGGACAGCCCAAGGTTGGGACATAATCAAAGAGTGGCCTCAGGAGCCTGACTCAAGTCTGGCTAAAGAAAAAGATTTGTCGAAGAAAGTCTTTTAACTGGGGATGAGTATCGCTACCATTACTCAGCATTCAGCCATTCTTCAGTAGTCAGAGATGAAAGGGATTTGTAAAGGGGTGTTGGCTGGCAGTATTTAGCAGGGACATATGGATAAGATGGTAAATTCTTTGTTAGGACAAACAATAGCCAAGAAGCTCCTAATGGCTATATCCTCTGGTGGAATTTATAAGCCCTTAGAAAACTTATAAGCCAAAAAAGTAGACAGTTCTTGTTTTTTTCTGATTCCATGAGGCCCATACAAAACCAGCATTCTGTTTACTCTGTTAATCCATGCTGCTTCCTAATGACTCCCTACAAAGGAGACAGAGTTGCTCTAGGAACGTATCAAAGTCAAAATGAGAATGTAGAGACATATTTCTAAATTTAGTATTTTATGTGGAATACAAGAATTCAGTTTGGGCATACACACAGAACGGGTGGTCTAAGGGATGTCCAAAGAACAAGGAGGTTAGAGGTTTTATTAAAGAATAAGGAGAAGGTTAGAGATTTTATTAAAGAAGTGAAATGTTGTAGGTCGTTCTTCAGTAAGCTCATTGGCGAGCTCTGAATCTAAGGGACAGCAGTGGGTAAAAGTGAGGTTGCAGCAGCTCGGTTCAGTAGCTCTTAGGTAGAACTGGTTTCAGGTTACAGCAGGCAGTTTCCGCAGCCAGGCTTGCAGAGCAATTACGTTCTTGAGCAATGTATATGCCCTGAGTGTTTTTTACCTCAGTGTCTCAACTCTGTTTTAGTTAGGTATAAAAAGAATGACCCAATTCGTATGATCAGGTTTCACAAAAACATACTAAAATCCTTCTGTTCCTAAGTCTCTCGTAAACATGTCCAGTTGCTTGCTCAGGTGTCTGGCTGGCCCCAGAGGTGCTGTTTGTCCACTGAGAACTTGTGTGTTTGGTGGTGTGTGCATTAGGGTGCAGAAGCTGACTACCTACTGGGAGTACAAGGAGGCGGCCTCTGCTTACCAGGAAGCCTGGAGCGCACTCCGGAAGCAGGCGTTTGCATCCTGGATCAGAAACCCACCGGATTATCACCAGTTTAAGTGAAAAGGAAAAGTTTTCAAATTGTTTGCTGGTAACCAGATCCTTCATATTGAACCGCCTTCTTCCTTAATTGCTACACAAGTCTTAGGCTAAATTGGGGGGTGGAAAAAGCCTTCTCAGCACTCCATCTCTTTTGTGTAATATAGATGGGATCTGGACCCAGAGCGATCTATACTTGATTGAAGTAGCTTTCTACTAAAGTGCTGTCTCACTAATGACCTTAGCGTCTGACTTCAGTTGTGTTTTATTGCTCCTCTGAAATAATGAGATTAGAGATTGGAACATGATGCTTTAAAAGTACTCTGCAGCAGCTTTGTTTTATGTGTTCCTACGTTGATTCAGCAAATATTTATTGAGCTGAAATGATGTTTAATCTCTGCAAGCTGTACAGCTTCACTGGGATAGTGAACATATACTTGTATTCCCAGCCTTGCTTCCCTTGGGGAGCCAACCTTTTTCCATTCTTGGGTGATTCTGCTCTACCCATCGAACTTGGTTGAAGCTAATCTTATTCCCTGGCTCCAGGAATGAGCTTGTGAGCCAGCCCTGGACAATCCTAGAATTGTTCTCAGAGCCATCAGGAAAAGATTCTCTCTTTTGATCCAGAGCTAGAAGGGCTACATAATGTTGGAACTGCCAGTGCCCATCTTTTCTTACCACATACAGGCAGCTAGCCGAGAACAAAGGCAGTGAAAAAGGAAACAGGCAAGAGAATCAAGAGAAATGTTATGTGTTGTTCTTTAATAACACAAGTCTAGCCTACCCTGGATTCCAATTATGTGAGACAGATTCCTACTACTGTTTGATTAAACTGTTTAAGTCAGTTTCCTGACTTTCAATTGAAAGAGTTCTCCCCAAGAAGCTAAAAGGTCCTAACACACCTAGCAAACAATTCTATTTTAACTCCAAGTCCAGTCTGGACAATACAGTCAGACCCTCATCTCTAAACAATAAATAAATAAATATATCTAATATTTAACTCTCAGCTTCTTCATGCCTTGAATGATTGACTAAAAATGTAAGCACCCCATGTCAGGGTTACTCAAGATCCTTGTCAGTTCTTCAGCATGTTACAGCTTTAAATATTTTTTAATAAGGCTTTATTGAAACATAATTCACATAGTATATAATTCACCCAGTTAAAGAATACAATTTTTATTTTATTCCATAAAATAAATGGAATGTCCATTTATTCCATAGAGCTATTCCACAGCTTTATGTCCATAGAGCTGTGCAACTTTCAGTTTTAGAATATTTTCATCCTAGAGGCACTTTATGCTATTTGTTTCCTAGGCCTGTTTAACAAAGTACCATAAGCTGGGTGGGTTAAAGCAATAGAAATATATTCCCTTCTGGAAGTCTAAAATCAATTTGTTGATGGGGCTCATGCTTCCTCTCAAAGCTCTCAGAAGTATTCTTCCCTGCCTGCTCCTCAGCTTTTGGTGGCTCCTGGCAGTCCTGGGATCATACCTCCCTCCAGTTTCTACCCTCTGTCTTCACATGGCCTCCCTGTGGGGAAGGACCTGTGTGTCTCTCTGTGTCTTCATATGGCCTTCTTGAAAGGACCCCAGTTATTGGATAATAATGATCCAGTCTGATCTCATCTTAGTAAATTCATCTGCAAAGACCCTGTTTCCAAATAAGGTCATATGCCAAGGTTCTAGGTGGATGTGAAATTTGGGGGGACACTATTCAACCCTGTTCAGTACTGATTAGCAGTCAGGTCCTCTCCCAGTTTTTTTTTCCTTTCCTTCCAACAGTAATCATTCGTATGAGTTGTTGGGATGTCATAATGAATGAAAATTCACTCCTTCTGATACGCTCTACTAATAGCAGCCTACATACAACAATTTGTATTTTTGCAACTGTATCTCAAACAGATACAGCAGTTTAGATCAGCAGTTCTCAACCTGTGGGTCGCAACCCACGGGAACTGTATTAAAGGGCCGCGGCATTAGGAAAGTTGAGAACCACTGTTTTAGATAGATATGGGATTGTTGTATCACAGCAAAATATAATTTTGCTCTATTTAAATACATTGGCCAGGAGGGGTGGCTCACACTGTAGTCCCAGGACTTTGGGAGGTGGGAGGCAGGAGGATTGCTTGAGGCCAGAACTCAGGACCAGCCTGGGCAACATAGCAAGACTCCATCTCCACAGAAGTTTTCTTAAAAAAAAAATCTTTAAAGTCCTATTTCTAAATACAGGGAATGCAATGAAAGCAAAGAGCAGCATTACAACAATGCTATTTCTTTCTTTCTTTTTTTTTTTTTTTTT